TACATGGGCCCCAGAGGCACCAACATCCCTCTTAGGCTGTGCTCATGGAAAGTTTGTGTTACTTGCTAATCTCTCGGGTACTGACAGGCTAAGCCCCATTGACAGCTAGGTGGGAGATCTCCTCAAAGTGGGTAGCGCAAGGCCCCCTACGCCAGGCTACAATGCTGTATCTCTGAGTGCTGGCAGAGGTCTTTGGATTATTTTCTTCCTTTCTTTTATTTTTAAAAATTTGCCAGAGTCTGTGTACACGCATAGCAGAGAGACAAAGAGAAAGGGAATGTTAGAAAGCATCTGCCCTCCCACCCCCCCATAGGGCATGGCCATGTTGCAATCCTTTATTCTCCATTTCTCCCTCCTCCCGGAATTCTGGGCATACACACAAGTGTGCCTGGCATGTTTCTCAAACCACTGGATCTGGGACCCCAACTGTACCATGTGGGATCTAGCCACCTTAACCACCATGTCATCAGCTGGCCCACCTGGATTATTTTCTAAGGTATTCTAAATTTTGTATCTTCATTCTTGCCCCTTCTAAATGAGTATTACATGGTAATAACGTCAACTCAATTATTGGTAGAGCTTTATTTAATATCTGACAATAAGCTAAGAGAAAGTCACAAAGATCTCATTCAATTAATAAAATAAAGCCTGTGGGGTATTCTTTTAGAAGAATACCCTAGAATCATTGTTTTAGTATAAACATGACCACAAAAGGAGGCAGGGAAGCCCTCAGTAATGGGAGGTAAATTGACAAGTGGCATTTTAGGAAAACAAAGATTTCTCAAAACAGAAACATCCACTTTCCTCCCCAGTTACAGGCTTAATGTTATTTGTAAGATAGATGTCATATTTATTCCATGATTGGCGGCATGCATACAATTTAAATATTTTAGCTTCCATTATACTGCTGGATCTACATTACTGACCTTCAAGGGCCCCATTCATAAGGGATGAGGAAGGGAACAATCAGCTACTTCATGTGAGGGCTGGCCAGCAGGCTGGGTTTCCAGCATTGTCAGACAAACCACGACACAGGGAACTCTTTGGAGCTGCTCTGAAAAGGGCAGGGT